AAATCTCCTGGCCATGTATGTCCCATAGCATAAGGAGAAGCCCCTGCTTCTGGGGGCAGCCACTTTGGTCTGTCTGTCCCAGCTGCTATAGGGGTAAGCACACTTTGCCTGTACTATACGTTGGTGAAATGCAAGGCAGCTACAGATCTCCCATGTCTGTGTTATCTCAGTGCTGAGCCGAGGGCAGAGGCTGGTACTCACAGCTGAGTGCAGTGCCTGCTCAGCTCTTGCACTGGAGTTGGCTTTGTTCTGCCAACTCGGTTGGGAAGCTCACACTCTTGGTTTTTTGTAGCCTTTGTCCCTGCTGCATATGTTTGTAGCTATAGGGAAGACAGAGATAGCTCCCACATGGAAAAGATAGAAGTACATTAGGAACTCTCTTTCTAAAACCAAACTGTTAATGTAAACTGAATGATAGCTGTGTGTAATACACCTTTAATTTTCTCCTGGACACTGATGCTAGAAAATCCACAGTGAGGAAAGAAGGTCAGAATAAAACATGAGTTTTATATGATGGATGTGACACCATGAGCTGCTTGTTTAGTTACATGGGAATGTGTTCACTGTGTAAATCAAATTGCAGCTAAAAGCCCTTTAGCTAAATCCAGCAGTAGAATTCCTGCAGCTAAGAGGATTACAGCATTCCTTGAGTCCTCAGTAAAACTTCAGTGATATTAGCAGCAGTAGCAGTTATGCTTCAAGGGCAGTGTACAAAGACATAGGTTTTGTATGTAAAGCATAGCTTCACCTCACCTTGAGGCATTAAGACAGCTATTCCCATTTCAATAACAAAAATTCCCAATAACGCCAGACTTCAGCTGGTAAAATATTCTTCCCATGGACTTCAATTCCTAAACTTAATAGTGACATTAAAATAATTAACTTTACAGCCCCTTGTGCAATTTTATAGCTTCCTCCTTCTGTATTTGTTCCTATTAACTCATTATGTGTCCACAATTGAGCAAAGTGCTCATGTGCATGCTTAAATCTCAGTTCAGTCAGTGAACATGTAAGTGTAGATGCTTGGTAGAGTCAGGACCCATTGGATTCTAAGATGACCTGGAGCAGATGTTTCTGTTTAGTCTGTGTTTCCACAGAGACTAGACATCTCTTCACTGTTCATTCTTGTTTTGAACTTAGCCACTTAAATGCTTATAAAGAAGGCATCTTTTTTTTAAGCCAGTGGCCTCTCTTCTCCCATGATTGTCTGTTTTAAACAACAAAGTATTTAATCTATTTTAGTATTAATCCAGAAAGCATCAGCCCACACTGAAAAAAAAAGCTTCCATTTCCTACAGCTTTTTAGAGCTTTTCATGCTTTGGAGTGTTTTCTGGGAGCTTTTTTCTCTTGCTTTTGTTTGAGGACAGAATCCACAGAGATGGAAGAGGAAAAGGTTCATCATGACTGACATTTGAGTCACTGCTTAGTTTGAGACACTCCTGGGTTTGATAGAGGGTTATTCATACCAATAAATGGAGAGCATTTCAGATTTTGTTTTGTTAGAAACACGACAGAGGAGACTGTCTTACTTGACGAGTTCATGAAGGAGGAAGAATGATCTTTTCCCATCTTTTTCTCTATTGGAGTTTTTGCATTAAAAGGTCTATCTCCCTCCTGTTCATTTTAAGAAACTGTAGTAGACTATATGTTCAAAGATTGGCAGACTTCCCTCAGATGATTATGAATATTTCGTCTCTGGTTTTGGTAGTACTTTTGAATATTTGATCATGTCAAAACAAGTACTTATAACTGACACATTAAAGAGGTTGGCAACAAACACTGCTGCACATAAATAGCTTTCTCTTTACTTCTGAAGAAGTTATGAAGTAGTGAAGAAAATATGGGTATTTGAGTGTGAAATTTACAAAGACAGATCCAGGAATCAGCTGTGATAAAAAAGCACTTTGCACCCTGTTTTCCTCTTGCTTGTTTAGAGTGGACTAGGTAAAGAATGACGACAGAATCCACTGTTCGGATGAGCAGAGTATAATAATTGACATTATTTTCCATCTTAATAAATAGCTGGGGAAAGAGAAACTGTTTTGAAAGACAAAATGCATAAACAGCACCCCACCCCCCCACCCTCCGTTTTTTCAGATGCTTTGATGTACGTGTCCCCTACTTGAGGTGTCTCTGGATGCTGGATTCTTACTGTATAGTCTCTCCATCTAGTGGTTAGATGGATGGGATGCTGCATATTCTTCATAACTTTTCAAGATTGTCATAGCTGAAAATGACTGGGAGCTGTTGAAATAGGAAGGAAATGTTCTGTGAGAGAAAGCACATGGCCACATTAAGTAAGGAGGAGACGTGAGGGTAAATGCCAAAAACAAAACAGGAATTCAGTGAAAACAATCAGGTTAAATCTTCATCACTGAAGCTTCCCCTTCCTGATAGCTAACTTCAGGCCAAATCCCTTGCCTTGTAGATAATAAAACCCCCAAGCTTGTCAATGGGTGGTGGGAATATGCACAGTTGTACATGTTAGTGCCTTATGGGGGGACCTAGATACATGCCTCTGGCAGCATGGACCTTGTAGTTACCTGCAAGATTCAGTAACACAGCCTCTGTACAACCATCCAGCAGGACTTCCCTGATACCTGTGCCTTCTTCTGAGCAGGTGAAGTGCCACCAGTACTCCCATGGCCCCACAGCTTAAAACCAGCTGGATCCAGAGGGAGTTGAGCTACACTAGGTCAAACCTTTGGCTCAGGAGCACAGGAGTGGGTAGGTTGTACCCTTGATCAGAGCACTGCCTAGGGCTGTTCCCCCATATGGAGCCACAAGGTGGCTAAGGGAAGTATTAAAAGTGGTAAATCCCCCAAGGGAGGCAAGAAGTTGCTGTCCTCTTTTGCCTGGGCTGTAAAGTCCCAGTGTTTAGCCTGAAAAAAAGGCCCATGGAGCTGTGGTTGCCACCTGATTGCTCCCTCCAGCAACAGGCTACCTGGACCAGTTGACTTGGCAAGCAGTGAGGTCTGGATCAACCTCTGCATGTCAGAATTGGGTAAGCCATAACCTATTACCCTAAAATCATTTCATATGGTCCATAGCAATATTATTATTCTTTCCCATACCATTGTACAACAGTGTTCATGTATTGTGTTCAATGGCTCAATGCCTGGCTGGAGACCAGTAACGAGTGGTGTCCCTCAGGGATAGGTGTTGGGACCGATCATGTTCAACATCTTTGTCACTGACATGGACAGTGGGATTGAGTGCGCCCTCAGCAAGTTTGCCGATGACACCACGCTGTGTGGTTCGGTTGATACCCTGGAGGGAAGGAATGCCATCCAGAGGGACCTCGACACGCTTGTGAGGTGGGCTGATGCCAACCTTATGAAGTTTAACCATGCCAAATGCAAGGTTCTACCTTGTCAGAGCAATCCCAGGCACAGCTACAGGCTGGGCAGAGAAGAGATTCAAAGCAGCTCTGTGGAGAAGGACTTGGGGTGTTGGTTGATGAGAAACTGCATGTGGGATCCTGGATTCTTCAGTCAGAGAAAATTCCCATAAAAAAATTCAGTTCAAATAAGCAATACAGGATTGGACTATTATCCATTATTTAGCCTTTTCAAGCTAAAGTAATTATGAGATAAGTTCTGTTCTTGAAATAATTAAAAAAAAAATAGTCCCAGTGCTTTCAGAGCGGATTTTGTAATTGCCTTTTTGCAGAAAATCATACAAGACAGGAAAAATACTTGATATTTTTGGCAGGCTGAGTTTCTGTGCATTTTATTCACTTTCAATAGGAACATTTCTAATGAAACTCCAGATAGAGCCAAGCACTCTAGAATGCTAGAATCACAATTAACTAAAACCAAACAGCATCGCTATATTATTTTGCCTTCCATATGTACTTATACAGTTACTCTATATGTTTTTAACACAGAGATACACAAACACATACGTTATGGAAAAATCATCGCACCACAAAGATGTAGGTAAAGCTCTGACTATTTCCACTGCATTAGCATGTGCAAGTTGTGTGCCAGGCAACAGGAGATGACATTTGACTTGGGTGATTAGTGGCTTCCACTTTTAACTGTGTTCTGTTCATTTACAGAGTTGTGCACATCAGTGTTCTCCTGCATCAGCTTAAAGCCATACTTTCAAACTTTTCTGTTGTTTTTGTTGGGCAAAGCATTCCAGTGACCTGCCTTTTTGCTTATTTATGTTTATAGCTCTACAGGGGCTTCATTGGTGTGGGTGTTATTTACTCTCAAGTACCACATTCGGGAGGCAAAAAGACCTTAAAGAGGATATAAATTACATTTGGCTGAGTACAAGATTCAGTCTATAAGTTTTAAACATTTGAATACTTCCTGAAATCCTGCTGGCACATCTGGGTTTGCTAAACACACACTGGGGGAAAATTGAGGAATTGACCATGACCTCTGGAGGCCAGTGTGCAGAGGCTCCATCTAGAGTCAGTGGAGAGAGACTGGCTCCAAAATTAGCTTTTTTTCACAGTTTGCTTAATTTTGCTGGCTGCAAAGATGCTTAGGGAGACCAACCTTGCTATTCTGCAGTTAATCTTTCTGAATGTTTACTAAGCACTGTTTTTCATACTCCCTATAAAATGAGGCTAAGCACCCAAACCTGATCTGGGCCCCACCCAATCTTGTGCTGACTTCCATGGGCTTTGGGTCAAATTTAATGGCCATCTCACAGAGCTACTGCAAAAACCCCCAGCACAATGGCTGAACTATGTCAGTATTTGTCACGCTTTCTTAAGATTATAAATAACAGGGTTTGATGATTATCAGGAGAGAGGCCCTTGTATCAAAATGGTAAAGTACCAAAGAAATAATCTAGAATGGATGAATCCTACCACTTAAAACTTTATTTGTTAACTTCTGGGTTTCTGTTTGTTTTGCTTGTGCAACTAAAATGTTGATTATCTGTCATTGCTGATCCAAGAGCAATAGTTCCAGGTTCATAAAGTAATCAACCCAACAGCTCAGATTCTTAAATTCTATCTTTTATTTACCTTCCCTAGGTTGGAAAAATCCACAAGAATGCTGCCCGCAAAAGAGAATACCATGTACTGTTCATGGTGATCACTACAGTTATCTGTTACCTGGTGTGTTGGATTCCCTATGGAGTTATAGCATTACTTGCAACATTTGGTAAACCAGGTGTGGTGACTCCAGTTGCAAGCGTCATACCTTCCATCCTAGCAAAAAGCAGTACTGTTTGCAATCCCATTATCTACATCCTTATGAATAAGCAGGTAAGACACATATTATTTTTAAATTCTATTTTCTTTAGGGTCTTTCAGGTATTATTGACTGCTGTGACATATAGATGTCTTTACGAGGACATTCAAGGCTTGTCCAGATGATATTACTAGAGTCTTGAGGTGTAGTTGTTTACAGTCAACAATATTATTGCTAGATAGGAAGAACAGATAAATATTTGCTTACTGAAATTACTGTGTTCTTCTGAGGGCACACTGGGTGTCAATTTGTATGCTGCAGAGCGAGTTGACAAAGGTACTGGAGTCTGTTTACAAGAAGAATACTCAAACATGGTGGGGGTGAGGGGGAAGAGGTGCAATAAGAAGAATGGATTTCATTACCTTGGAAACAATATGAAGGAGGAAAACATTTGCAAACACCATTTTCACGACAGATGCCCTTGAAAATATTGCAATTATACTTTCTCTGGACATCCATATGCTTCCTGTTAAATTCCTAGTTCAGCTACATAACAAAATAGATTATGAATTTTGTCTCATGAGGACCAAAGCCAATTCTACCACTTCTAAAATGCCTAGATCCAGTTACAGCCCCTTGTTTCTGTAAATGGCATTTTCAGTACACAAAAGTGAAATTCCTAATGTGTCTGTGTTGACTCTAAAGTTTGATAATGGCAGATCCGAAAGTTTTAAAAGTGTTTTGCAGTTAAGAAATTTGGAAAATATGTATGGTTTATGAAATAGCCTTGTCTCTCTTGTTACATCTTAGATGTTATTCTTAATTTCCTTTCTTCATTATGTCCATTGCACTATTATAAAGCCAATAACCCCCCTTTACCCTTTCTTGCTCAGTGTATGATGGAGCCTACCCCTTAGAATTTATCAACAGCAGCACTGTATTATTATGGAGTTGAGACAAGGGATATGTTGAATTTACCAGCCAAATAAATTCCAATTTTGCTGCAGCCCAAGATCATTCTTGGTCTGGTTCATCTAACCTAAAGTTCTTAAACAAGGAATGAGTTTCCTTCTGGAGTTTGAGAGAAAGCTCTCAGGCAAGCCATAAAACCTTCCTGAAATCAGAAGAAAAAAGTACTGTTGCCTTCCTCAAGACCAGGGCTTCATTTCCAAAGCGTAGTTTGAGCTGACATTGAAAAATATCAAGAACTCCATTTGAAAAGTGCTAAAGCGAAAGCAGGATAGGAATCTTTTCTCCCTTCCCTTACCTTTTATGATTCTTATGGAAACGTCTCAACAGCAGCATCTGTCTTGCTTCTCTATTCTCTGGGCGGTTTGGCTGAGGTCCTTGGCTCCCATGACATCATCTGACTGTGCTGCCATCACTGGAGCAGGCTGTAACAGTGGTCACAAATACATTTTGGCACTGTATTTACACACAGAGCACATCCTAAATAGCAAAAGTATGGAATGCAGGGTAAAGATATGAGTCTTAAAACACACGAACTCAGTACAGAGCCTTGGGTACCTCCATATGTCTTGAGAACAAAATCACATGCACAATTACCTGTGCTGACAACCTGGCATCCACAAATATACACACAATTAAGGCTGGTTTTATATTCTCAAAGTGCTCCAAGCAGTTATTGAGAACTGTGCATTCTGCAGCATCAAAGGCTTGTGAGGCAGTCATGCTGCTATGGGTGTGCTGAGGCAAAAAGAAAAGGCTTACTGTTGAGGAAAAGTTGATTAGCAGCAATAAAACCAGGGTGCTTGCACATCACAGGAATGTAGTAAGCTGTCTAAAATCACTCCTTGCAGTAGCTGCCTCTTTCAGCTACAAAAGAAACACTTCTGAATGCTTAACTTCTTTTGTTCGTATGAGGTGTACTTTTGATCAAGTTTATCATGTCTTATAAGGAAAGATCATTGTGGGATGATATGTCTGCAAGGGGAAGATCTGTTAGGACAGTTTTGAGGCAAGGCAGGCTGTTTCTTAGCCACAGGAACTGAAAAGGCAGTGCAACAATTCAGGAGCACCATGGCAAGGAGCTGGAAGTGGTTTCTTACATATCCTTCCTTAATCTTCAGTCACATGCAAGACCGATGCATTAGATTTCATTCTTGGAACACTGAGAATGTTTCATTTGTTTCCCGCTGCCTACTGCTACACAGCTGTCACCATTTAACAAAGAAATGCAAGGGACAAAGTCAAATTGGTCTTGGAGGGTTGATCATTAGTTGCCAGCTGGAAGTCACTGTATGGGTTGTTTTGTTTTTTTACATAGTTAGCTTCCTTATTGTTGCCAAAATCTAAACAAAAATCACTCCTGAAAAGTCAGATTTGGCATAAACACTTTTCATGGTAATTAAACCCAAAATAAGCAATAGCTAATGCCTAGCATGAATCCACAGCTCTTATCTGCTATGCCGTTGCATATTAGCAGTAAAAATAATTGGGTTTACTTGACACTGGGAAATGAGCTTCGCTCAAAAAGGGTGAAATACATCCCTTCCTCTAGTTCCCCTTCTTTTCAGAACAGGAACAATAGTAACACCTTCCTCCGATGCATCACTGTTGTTCACAGCACCTCAGCTACTCTGTAGTTGTTCTCATTCTTTTTTGTAAGCTTAACACCTCAGGAAAAGCTGTCTTCTTCCCAGCACTCAGCTTTTCTCGGCTTCATGCTTAGCTGAGAATTGTCACAGGAGGCTGGTTCCTCCCAGCACAGAAATTATCTGGCCTGCATTTTTCACAGTCCTCTCTTTCCAGATGTGAGACACCACAGGAGGCTATTTACTCCTGCATCTTACAAGTACACCAAGAACATATGGCTTAATTTTTAGTTCTCTATGCATAAGCTAACTTTTTTGCTTTGGGACATGCCTTGAAGATTGCAAAATGGCATTGGTTGACTGCAGCTGTGGTGATAGCTTCCAGCTATTATAAATCAATGTGTAACATCAGTGAACCGTCAACCTTAAAACTCATCCTGCAGAGCATACCTTTAAATTAACTCTCAGGCAGGCTCTCAGTCACTTGCATAGTCCTGGAACCCCAGAAAAAAAAGGTTTTGCCTTTGCAGTTGCTTTCTGCACTGACCTGAGGTGATAAAGCACTGAGGAAAATGGTGAATTTCTTTGGAGCTGTAGGGACTCCCTCAGGTGGGATGGCATGGGGCACACTGCTCTCCTTCCACTCTGCTCCAGGAGGAGAGAGATGCAGTGTTTAAGATGGGCAGGTAACATCACACCAGGCAGATATTAAGCTTCATTTACAAAGCTGTAAAGCACTAAATTGGCTGAGACCAAATGGTGCTTGGGGAGAAGCTGGAGGAGACAACAGAAAGCACCTTACATTTTCTCTGTCCCCTCGTTATGAATGGCCCTTTTGCCCTTTGGCAGCATGGCTATGTATGCCTGGGGCAGCTCTCCCTGCAGGGCAGACCCCCAGAAATGCAGCACATAGCCAAGTACACAGCCAAGCTGGGCAGCATCAGCATGCTCAGGCTCTCAATGCATTGGTCCTTTATAGTTGTTACACAGTTAATGTGGTTATGCAGATTTTTTGTTTCATCTTCTTTTACCTCTCAGTGTTTTTTATTCCCATCACAACTCCCTGTCAGGTTTGCATCGTCTCTCTTCAAACTGCCACGTGTGCAGCCACCACAAACAGATTTTTAGTGACAGCTTCAACTACCTGCCTCTGACTAAAGCAGTGCTGACAGAAACCTGCTCTTTCACATGTTGCATGCAAGCAGGTATTAAGCATTCACTCAAGAGATATGCAGCTTCTCTGTAGCCCATGGACTTGCAGTTTTGATGATCACTGGGAGCATCTTGCTTTCATGTATTCCATAGAATGGCACAGGAACCCTGACACGGAAGATCTGGCTGGCTGGTGTAACTGTACGTGAAGATGTACTGCACTGACAATCAGTGGATAAATAGCTGGATAAAATAATGGTGCAACAGCTGTTGAGGTTAACCTTATGTATCAGAAGTTAATTTTTTATTGATACAGAAGTCAAGATGTGAATAATGAGTGCTTGAGAGGGTATGGTTATGGATGAGAATGAGTGAATCTGCACTCACGATTTCTCATAATTTAAAACAAACACTCAGAGAAAACAGGAATTTGCTGCATTGCTACTGACAGCCAAATTTAAGTCAAGTTAAACCTGTGTCATGGTTTAAGTCCAGTCTGTCAATTCAGCCATGCAGTCCTCGCTCAATCCCCACCCCACCTTCCTCCTCCCACTCCCGGAGGGATGGTGAGAAGAATCGAAAGAATGCAACTCCCACGGGTTGAGATAAGAACAGTTCAGTAACTAAGGCATAACACAAATCACTACTGCTGCCACCAGTGATAATAATGATAAAGGAAATAACAAGGGAAGAGAATACAACCGCTCACCACCCGCCGACCGATACCCAGCACGACCGAGCCATGGTCTAGCCCTTCTGGGTAACTGCCCCCCAGTTCTACATCCTGGGCAGGACATGCTGTGGTATGGAATACCTCTTTGGTCAGTTTGGGTCAGGTGTCCTGTCTTTGCTTCCTCCCGGCTTCCCCTCCTCCCTGGCAGACCATGAGACTCAGGAAGTGCTTGGTCAGACTAAACATTACTGAGCAGCAACTACAAACATTGGTGTTATCAGCGCTGTTCCCAGGCTGAAAGTCAAAACCACAGCATTGCACCAGCTACTAAGAAGGAGAAAAATGACTGCTACTCCTGAACCCAGGACAACCTGTAGTACTCAAAGATCCACAGAACCAAACATTTGGAAAACACTGATCAGATTATAAATCACAACCTTAAAATAGCCTTGCTCTACTGGAGCATGTGGGCTCCAACTAATTACTTCCACACATTTAGTCATCCAGGTAACTCACCTAAAGCTCCCTGGACTACTGGAACTCAGGCTAGCCCATCTAATACTGTTTTGCATATTACATTTGGCAAAAAAGTCCACCCAAACCTTGTTATCAGAATGTGGAATTTCTGGTGTCAGAAAATGCCTGTGAGGAAAAGTAAGGAGGAAGAGTGTGAGGGAAGGGATACATTAGATGT